GGCAGCTGTCTTGAATTCGTTTACACAACGGCCATCATGGTCTCGCCAGGGAGCGTAACCGAGCCACGGGATCGCCATAGGATGAATGCATAACTAACATTCAATTATCGTTCCTAGCTGACGTAAGCGGAATGCAATCCTTCCCCAACTTCTCCGCATCAAAGTGATGCGAATGCTAAACGAACGGATTGTCCGGGTTCCACCATTACTATATCTACAACGACGACGATGTGCGTTTTCGTGAAGGAAGTAGTATGATGTGTGTTATGACGCAGTCGGAGATTTCCTCGACCATGGTGCATTTCGGTGCGGATATGCCGCTCAGGCCACGTTCTGAAGAGTTCTCTGTGCCAGAAGAGAATGGAGATTGTTACAACAAGGCTAGCCACGACTATTCGTCATCGTACGTGTACTGTTCACAGGACGAGATCCTGGACTGTGGCACAGAAAGACAGGAGGTGGTTATACCGTCTTGTGCTACACACGACACTGGGATGTGTGATCATAGTGCGTGCTCTTATTTCCTTGGGGATATTTCGTCTGCTGAAAGAGACAGTTTCTCCGAGAGTGAGGCAACGGCTCAATTGCAGAATGGTCGCCGCCGTACACGGAAATTACCTCCGGATATGTGTGAGCAAAATTGCCCCAATCAAAACGTAAAGGGAGATAACGCCGTCTCTACGAGCACCTCTCTGCCACCATCTTGCAAACCACAGCTACCTTGTCCGTGCTTTAGAGCCTGTTTGTTCCCATCAAAACATTCGACATCGAGACAGCTAACAGCACCAACGTTACTCACAGCCAAGCTCTTACTCGTTATCGCTGATTGCAAACACACACTCACGACAATGCTGGCTCTTGTCTCCGCGTTCTTTTCTCCGCATTTTCATCTCCCACACCCGCCAAGGCCGCCTGCATTTTCTACATCGACGTCATCTACATGTTATACCACAACCACTACCACAACCACAACCCCAACCACCACTACCACAACCACCACAACCACCACCACCACCACCTCCACTACCAGAAGAAGAAGCAGCAGCAGCAGCAGCAGCAGCAGCAACACACACCTTACAAAACCGCCATCCGTATTCTGTGCCACCATCTTGTTCATTCTCGTCTTCTTCGCCGGGCCTCAGTGTTCCAGCGCCGCCCGTACCAAAGTCAGCATTCACGCCATCATACCTCAGCACTTCGACATGAAGACGGACCTGACGCGAGAGTTCCACAACACGGTTCTCAACTTCAAGCGAGACCGCCGCCATCGCCGGATCATGGAGGTCTTCGGCACTTCCGAGTCCTTGACCTTTCTCAACTCCGACACGCCCAACGAGATCCTGACGGCCATCTGCGATGACGTGCTGACACACCAGACGATCACGATCCTCAACATCAACAACCCTCTGAGCATCCGGAGGCGAACCAGTTCCAACCAGTACGTTCTGGAGCTGGCCCACTTCCTGGGGATCCCTGTCATCTCTTGGGATACGGAGTTCAGCGGCGCTCAGGTTTGTCCTCTCAGACAATATCATTTATATCTCTGTCTGTGTTCCTGCTTGTTTTACTTTCCATTGGGTTTTTTGTTGTTTTTTTTTTTT